TCCCTCGCATAGCCGCGCCGGCCTACAGAGGAGAACCGTGCGGCGCGGCTATGCGAGTGGCCACTGTAGTTCAAAACAGTTCTCGCGTAATGTCTTGCAGTAGGCAATGCTATATCCTTCACTGATCGTAGCATAAATTTTCCAATGTGAGAGTATACTTCTTTGATGGCAGTCTTCTTTAACCTCAGATATAAGTTAGGTGAGATTTGTTGTGGATTCTGGAGTACTTCCAAGACTGGATTTAGAATGTCAACTATAGGCCTCATTGGGAGAGCAGGGGACCTATCAGTGGAATTACTCTCTGACAAAATTCGAGTGGATGGAGTGGATGGTGTGGATGGACTAGTTGGGACTGTAAAACAAAGTAAAAGCATTGGTTCAGAGAGTATTGTTGAAGTAAAGAAACAGCCATGATTTGAGCTAGTTCAAAGCTCACTGTTGGCATCACGAGTAGTGTTGAGAGCATCGTCAGTTATAGATGCAGGTTCCCAGGTTACAGAACAGCTCACTGATACCTCAAGAGTCTTCTGGAGCTTCTCAGCGTTGGTCGCGAGAAGTTGGAGTACATTATCACTTCCAATTTTGATTCCTGTTGGCTCTTGAAACACCTGTAAAAATAAAGTGTTAGACACAAAGTATTATTTATACCCAATATATCTTAGGACATGAGACTAACCGTGTATGTTTTAGATGCATCTAGTGCAAATTCTGTTTGGGCAGCAGAGCTTTCCTCGAACGGTCTTGTGCCATCACAGTGATTAAATGCATTGTGCAGTTCCTGAATACAAGAAATATAGTTAAAACCAGGCTGTCCCATAATAAATCATTCAAAAGCGGTTGCATCAACAGTGAAAGTAAGGTTACAAACTGAGTACAAAGACAATGCATACCCAAACGATTGACCGTCAAGAGATGTCAACAGTGCACGCAAGCAAAACCTCAGAACTGACTTAGGACAAAAGAATTAACAAACGAAACTAACTTATGCAACTGTAGTGAAATTGGTTTCAGATCAAGGAGCTATAAAAGATTCAATCATAAATGAGCCAAGTGCATCATTCCAACACAATCCCAGGGAACTGACCTGGGGCAACCTAACCTATGCACA